GAGTTTGAAGTGGTGAATGTCCTAAAGAAAGAGCAAGTAAAACACCTGTTATTGACTATTGATGTGTATCCTTGCTATTGTCAAATTTTCAACAGTTTCAAACAAAAGATTTGTATATTGTTTGGCGATAAATCTTAATAACATTATATTATCACTTCCAAAACTCTGTTTTCAATCTTATGATTTGTTTTGCTTACAAACTTTGAAGATCGTGATTAAGAATCAGGAAGCATGAAATTATGAAAAATTGAAGGCATTTACTCAAGTTGCAAAATATTTTTTACAAAACAGGAAATTGATTTTTATATAAAAAATCAGACTGAATTTTTTTCGTGGCTTATGGAAAAGTCAGTTACAAATAATGAACTAGTTGATGCAAAATATGTAAGAAAATGTTTGAAAGAACGCTATAGAACAAAAGAATTGCATTTATTTCAGTATATGCTAAAACATTTTATATTATTAACAAATACAGAGCATCTTATGCATGCAATTTTATAAAATAAAATAAAAAACAATATGGAAAAAAAATGGGAATCCAGACTTGTTTCCCCGTTTTCTATGGGCTTTCTCAACTTACTTGGGTCTAAAATATCCATGCGCAGTTCGTTCAAAACTATATTCTTATCACTTTGTTCGAACATTATAAATGCTCCTGGTCAAATATCTGAAGTTTCCCGATTAATAAGCGTTAATCACAGTTATAGCTTCCGAAGTTTATAGCACACCAACTATAGCAAACCAATAATAGATACTAATTTTTTTGGCGCGTTGCGTTGGTTATATTTATAGGCTTGTGGAGTATTTCTAAAAAATGCAAATTATGTAGCAATACAAAGCTACATTAAGCGTTTACGTACACACATATGTTGTTGATTCTTACACTCGAGAATCTTCTACAACTTTAGATAATATGCTGGAGTTTCGCATTACATATTTAACAGCATGAGCTGTGTATGTTTCTAAATATAAATTTAATCTAAACAAACGTCGATGTTAAAATTAATATATAATAATAAATCCACCACAGTTGTCAGCTACTAAAGCTTTTCCACAAATTTGTATGAATCCATGTAAGTGAGCACCATTACAATTACTATAGAATGTCAGCTACTAAAGCTATTCCTTAAACTTGCATAAATTCGTCGAAGTGATTAACACTAAACTTGATAGAGGATTTCAACGATTAAAGCTCTAAATGATTGCTGATTCATTATAATATGCAAGCTAGAAATCGACTTCATATAGATAAAAAAGAATGACAAATATCTGAACAACAGGAATATTGATTGCAAAATAAATGATTTCAAAAACAGTGTAAAATTAAAATATAAAACTAAAACATTCCTGGTCCTTTCATAATGCATAATTCTGTGGCACTAAAAATGTTAATTTAGACATCGTTTATATTTATGATACATATAGCTAAACATCTGTCATACTGTCCGATGGTAAAGTCTGAAATCCGTAATACGTTAGTAGTTCTTAAAATTAAATGTGAATGAAAAGTAACACTCCATGTTATCGTAGAATTAGTATGATTTTAAGTTTCAAGCTTTCTCAACAGATGACGCTACGCTAAAATTACACAGTTTTCGCCAGTCTGGTTAGGGTATGTTCTTTAAAAATGATTGTTTGTTTGTAGTTATAGCGTTGAAAGTCCGCAGATATACCTATGTTCCACTGGAGGGGGACATTTTTAAAGGCCTCTAGTGGCACACGGTATGTCTGCGGACTTACAACGCTAGATTCCAGGTTTCGATACCTGTGGTGGGCAGAGCACAGATAGCCCATTGTGTAGCTTTGTGCTTAACTTCAAACAAACAATCAAATCTTTAAAAATGTAAAAAAAAAATTGTTAAGCACTTTTAAATAAAGCTATTTGACAGTCAATGTTAAAGTTCCTTCAAAATCCAAAATTCAGCTTATTCACAAAAATGGTTAATATTTTTATTCTAGCAATATCATTTAGTAATACAATAATTAAAAAGTGGAAGAGATAACTCGCTGAAATATTTGTGCGATGTAATAGCTAGTAAAACAGATATAATAATAATAATATTTCGTAATTTTTTCTAGTTTTTTCGGGTTTTAGTGTAAACTCTTATTGTATTGACCATTGGTGTCTTATATGCGAATGCAATGGGTGACATGAAAACTAAGAGATCAGTTATTAAAACGACACTGCAATGAACTAAACTTAATAGGTGTTCCGAAAATGAAAACGAGTGTCAGACCAGAAACGAATTTTGCCCTTCTAAGAATACCTTGTTCTTTTGCATACAGCGGCATTTCCCGATGCGTGGAGCGCGTCCCGTCAGGGGGCGTAAGCAATTAGGCTAGAGTCGATAGTGCAATAATGCAAAACTAAGCGTTTTAATATATTTTTATTAATGAAAATAACACATAGTTACTACAACTCATATAAAATTTTATTGTGTATCCGTGTGTTATGTCTCGTCACTTAATTCACTCATTTTAAAAAGAGGGGATCGCGCAAGAAACCACTTTTATTAAATGAGGAGTAGACAACAAAAGTTCGAGAAACGCCTGGGATACAGTAACATGCACGTGATAATCATAATGCTCAATTTTTAATTATAACAACAACCACTATAGCTTTGTGCTTCTATCATTGCATTACTATGCACGGCAAATAATTAAACTTTAATGTTAAAAAAATGTTTCCTGAGCGGCTTGTCACTACTGTTTTCCTTAAATAGCTCAAACTTTCCAAGGTTTGTTAAATTTTTTTGATAATGTGCTTCAGTTTTCTGTATTTTATATATTTTACGTGTCTGAAGTTGATAACTGTTCCAGTAATAATAGTCATTCAGGATCGAAGTCTTCTGCCCTATATTCGCAAGAACAAAAAGAAGAAAACGATTCCCTGACAGGTATATTCCTCCACAAGTTAAGTTTGTTTGTAATTAAGCACAAAGCTACACAATGGGCTATATGTGCTCTACCCACCACGGGTATCGAAACCCGGTTTCTAGCGTTGTAAGTCCGCAGACATACCGCTGTGCCACTGGGGGGGGGGCACAAGTTATGAAACAGTTATATAAACATTTCTTAGGAAACTTCACAACTTAGAGTGCAGTGATATTTTACAGAAATAACGCATGTTGGTTTACGAAAAGTTTACTGTGACAATTTGTTTTTAGATATTTTAAGTTGTTCTGTACCATAACTAGTTGCTTGAAATTTTTTGTAATAATTTATTGAAAACTTTATCGATAGCAGTACAATTTTGATTGAGGTAAACAATAATTAACACTAAATATTAACTATAAAGCAAACATAACATAAGTATAATTAGACTATTATAGAAATTCGATACAAAAATTAAACTATATAAACGAGATATTGCCATAGGAGATTATTTTATCGTAATTATTGATAATTTAATAGTGCTTATTAGTTAGAATTAAAATATCAATTCATTGGATATATTTTTGTGAAATTTGGTGTCCAGATTTTAGATATTGCAACTGTTCAGAGTTGGTGTTCGAATCACCGAGAATAATCCGAATAAATTATCTTACTTCTGTGCAGGACAACATAACATAACCTATGGACAACAAGAGATCATTTAATTGGCCTTTCAAGGCCTCCACTACTGCTTACGGCAACTCAATAGAATAATAAATAGGTCTAGTTGGAAGCGAATTGAGATATATCAATTAAGTGGAATACTCGAGCAAGCCAATCTATACGTACCTAGTTATTTGCATATTTCTAACAAAATACCACTTCCCCCCTCAACGAGGCTGTAAATGACAACATAACGTTTCAGTAACAGCAAGGGGCCCTTTAGCGCATGGTGGCTGTTCCGTTCATTTCATAGAACAGTCAACTTCCTTTATTCTGTCCTGATTTTTTAAGTATTTATCAAGCCTTCTTTTGAACGCTCTCTATCCTGTTGCATCTGAAAGCAATTTATTCCAATGGACGCACACTCTGTTTGAAAAAGAGAATCATATTGTCTAATTTATAAACGGCTTCTACTCTACCAAAGCTTAAATCTGTGTTTCTTAGTCCTACCTCTCTTAACATTAAGTACTAAAACATATGAAGTATCAGTCCTATTTATTACCTTTACAATTTTGAACACTTCAAAAGATCCCTTCTAAACCTTTTTTTTTTTAAAAAAAAGTGAATTTAATAACTTTAACCTGTCCTTACGTGACAGGAATTATTATTGTAATCATCCTTCGAACGCTTTCCAACAACTCAATGTTCTTCTTATTAAGATAAGAAAACCAAGACTCAAATAAGACCTAACCAGATCTATACAAAGAGATCACCGGTGAATCAACGCTAGGTTTACAGATTTATAATGCTAAAATCCGTGAAGGGAATAAAGTGCAGATAACTCACTGTGTAGCTTTACACTAAAACATCAATAATAACTGTACAGAGAAACGATAACATTCTTTGACTTATGTTTAATATTTCTGTAGATATAATCAATGTCCCTTAAATTTTTCTTTTTATTGAGCTTAAGAGATTGATCGACCAAACACCAAGATCCCTTTCTCCCATAAAACAATTGAACTGATTTCCATGAAGGTAGCTATAACAGAGTTTAGCCCGCAAACACTATCTGGGATTAACATAATTAAATGCCATTTGCTTTTATTAGCCAAATTCGCCAAATGATTTGTTAACTGCAAACCAAATTTCACCTGAAAGTCACTTACATAGCTGTTTTAGCTATGTTTTTACTTCAGGCATTTGACAAACCAACAAAATAACTGAATTAAATGGCCAGATTTTAAGCAAACTATTCGATAATGTCAAGCTATTTCGCATACTAGAATATCAAACATGAAATAAAATAAAGTCTATTTAGATTATAATTTCTAGTGTGGTATTAATGATATAATGTTTATGATACCTTAATTTTTAAAATTTGGTGATACTGAAATATAATACATGAATCCTGTGGAACAGAGACATAGAAGCACTAAGTTAGCACAACTTCCTGTTTCCTGCGTATGGTAAACATGGCGGCCATGATTGTTGGCGTGGACGAATTGGTTAAATCTGTTTCACTCCACAATTATCGCCACATTCTCCTGCATGGCTACACGGGACCTTTTATTGTATTTTATTTAGTTTGGTTTTACATGTGGGCTGCTATTTATGGCATAAATGAGAATTTTGAAGCAGGAATGATTGCATTAGCGTGCATGGGACTTATCCAAATCCTGACATGTCTGTTTTGCCAGTGGTCGGTACACATTCGGTGCCTTCTCGGATGTAGTAAGGTAAGAATTAATAGCCCAGTTTCAGTTATAGTATATGTTCAGTAATGATTAATTTAATGATATTAACAGCATATGCATAGTGAAATTTTAGTTATGACGAAAAGAGCATATTCCTAATTTATAACTATAAATATATAAATTATGACTCGTAATACTAGTACTACTAGTGTGATTAACTGATCACAGTGATATACAAATTACGGTTACTATTCATAACTTTATGTATTAATTATAGTTTAAAAATTAGGGTGGTGAGATCTAAGAGTAAGAATCTGACAATGAGGTCTTACTTTTACAGGCTTTAACATTTTGATAACTACTTGAAGTTGTACTTTATACTCTGATGAAGTCTCATTATTAACATTTGGTAACAGTCTTAAAAAACTAACACTTTATGAAACTTATTTTCATCCAGTTTACTTTGTGTGAATGTATGATACTTTTTCTTACAGCATGGCAGGTTTCATATAGTAATATTAAACACTTGAAAAAGGATGTTGCGACCTAATTAGAAAATGTTTGTCATTATTTGCTATACTGAAATGTTGCACTTCATTATAAACTATGTATTTCGCCTGATAGTTATTATAAGTTTCACTAAATCATAAATTAAAAATGTACTTAAAAAATAGTTAAAGATATTAAAATTGACCTAGAAGCTTGTATGTTTTCAAAGGGTGGACTTTTTTTTTTTCTGGAGCAGACCCTTTTTTCAGTTTTAAGGAAGTTTTTAAGTTTCTTTGAAAATTTCACACTGTTTCATTCAAAACATTTTACATGTTACAACTTTAATATTATTATTATAAATCTAATTTATCAAAGCCTTGACATTGCGTGCCATATGTTCCTGCACAGAGTCTGCAGAGTTATCCAATAGTATATTTTAAGCTTTTTGTTAGACACTAAGGTATAGGTATATGTCCAAGAGTTATGGTAAGAATTATGATGTAGTTGTCCTTATACAAAGTGTTTTGTTTAACTGCTCTTTTTTTTCCTTCATTAAATAAAGAACTACCTGCGGTTGGTAATGCTGCATGCCAATGCTATTTGTTCAGATTTTAGTGATCTAGTTAGTTCATATAATAAAAGACAGGTTATCATGAACATTTGTTCTGTAAATTTACTAAGTTATAGGCAAAAAGGTTAAATTTCAAGCATTAATATGTAATTGAAATCACTCCTGTTTTGTGTTGTTTTTTTTAAAAAAAGAAAAGGAATTAAACAAACATAAAAAAATTAAAAGGAAATATGTTGAAAAAGAAAATTGTGTATTGTCATTAAGTTAGATCAGTCACAATAGACAAATTATCAAAACTAAATTGTGTCCATTCACATCTGTGTATCTATGCAATAAAACATTAATTCAATCTGACAATAAATGGTAATCTATTTCTACAACCATATAATTAAAAATAATATTGTCAATGCATAAATCCATATCTGGGCTCTCAAACAGACCACCCATACAAAGGGTGTTCAAACCTTAACAATTTTGAACAGTTATATCAAGTCATGTGTAATTCTTCTATGTCCAGAAAAACAAAAGGGAATCCTCAATAGCTGCAGTACTTGAAATTCTTTTTTGGTAGGATTAGAGTAAATTAATCTACGAGACTTTTTTTCCTTTTTATGCACCAGTAATACCAAGCATGGGAGGGGGGGTGCTTATAGCCAATTAAATTTTATTACTCATCAGGATCTACCAGCCTACCTTCAAATTGAATTTCTTTTAGGCAGGATTAGAGTAAATTAATCTGAGACCTTGGGCATGGTCAAATACATCAGGCAAAAGAGTTTGACCTCCTGAGTCCAAGACTGTAATTCGATCTCAAATCTGTCAAGAGATGACAGAGCTATCAGATAAAAGTTTGTACTTGAAAAACTCAAAGCCATTCTATGAGCCACTATGCTGCAGCTAAAAAAATCAAAAATCTGAAACTCTCCATTTAACTTAATATCTTAAACTTGGTACCTACATGATTCTAGTAACCTGCATCTGTACTCTTTCCAACACTGTCATGCGGGACAAAAATTGCCCACAGTACTCCATTTAAGGAACTTACTAGAATCTCATATAAGATTAAAATATTCTTCCTACTCTCAAGTAAATAAAATTAAGAAATACTTAGTTTTTCACCACAGCTAAATACTTAGCTTGGCCTTTAATCTTTTTTTTTATATAAATACTTTTTTCTCACACCAATGATCAGCTTGAACACACAAAAAAACAAGTCTCATCCAGATTACCATACTCAAAGTTTAAACTTTACATCTGTTTATATCGAAACTCATTTTTAAGTTTCTAATTTAATTACTGCAACTGTTTTGATAATTTTGAATGAGATACATGTTCTCACAAGAATTAGCTCTTCTCCATATATATTAGTAACATAGCTGAAATTCAAAATGTTACTATCCAAGAAGCTATCCAAATTGTTCATATAAGCTTTTTTTAATTAGTTTGATTGAACTAATGAAACATCACAAGTTTTAATAAAGAGTTTTCCCGTTCATATTACCCACTTACTTTTCTTTGCTCATAGTATCTTGTAGATTTTTTTTCCCCTTTTTAACATTAGGGACGTGTCTCTAGAACTGATATCAATAAAGATGTCCAAGATAAAAATACCATATTTAGTAGAGCTCAAATTATTGCTGTGATTTACATTTCTTAACCATATGCTCCTCAGTACTAACATCATGGCCTAAGATGGCACCTTTCTATAGTAGGAACTTTTCGTGTGTTGTGTGAAAAAAAAAAAATCCCTCGCAACCTCAGAAAATTCTTGAGTGCTAAGACAAGAAGACAGACTTGCCTATCAGTTTTTCTGAACATGCCTTTTAAATCCATAATAATGGTAAATCTGATTTTTAAATATCACTAAAGGCGAGGAAACTGATAAAATAATGCATCATAATCATTATAAGTAAGAACAGTATATTAAATTAGCTATAGTCATTATTAGTCTGATTTTTAATTCTAATCTATGTAGGTAGCTTGCCTTTATCAGATATTAATATTAATTTGTAATGCAATCAAACCAAAAAGTGTTATTCAATAATTTCTTTCTGTAATGGGCATTATTAACTTCTCAAAACTGCCATTACCAACACCATTAATTAACCCTAACATGCACTGTTAAAGAGAATCTTTTTATAGCTTTGGCCACTAAATTGTCTGTCCTCTCCATAACACCCTGTACTTAGTACCTACATGTAGTAGGAAAATTTTAGATTTAACTTATCTAGGTGCTTCACCAAATAAGTACTCATTGACAAGAACTTTTAAGATTCTTTTTCTATCAAAGTTTGGTTAAAATTACATACATTAGGTGTGGTATAAAACTTGCAAAACTCCAGTACACTGTGTTTACTTTCTACAGTTTTTAGACTTGTTACCAAATATTGGTTTTCATTTTATAACCAGTTATTCAAAATGTATAAAGGCCATTTATAAACATATTTATTGCATCAGTGTAGAAGTTACCTTTTATTACTCCAAGTCATATACAAATTGGATCTTCACTTTTAGAACTTTTGATTTTATCAATGGAATATTAACTGAATTTAAGTCTAAATAAAAGATAAAAGTGAATTTAATAGAAATACTACATTAGTGTTTTTTCCTTCCATAGCAGTACAACTTGTAACTATTTTCTAGCTGAGACATAATTCTGTCTTTTATTAGTTTTTATGTAAAGGGTTGAGTGTGTCATATTAAAATGATTTTGAATATGCAAGTCAATAAATTAGTATAAAGTCACAGTAAAACAAAATGTATCAGAACTACATTTTGATATTACTTGGTATTTTGTAAGTAGTTTGATGTCATATCATTTTTTTTAACTTATTCATTCTCATGGTTTGTGGTTTCACCCTTACATGAATTACTGGCTGCTATTAGCTTCATCCTGTCAGACATCTCATTAACACACCCAGTTGCTTCTTTGAGAGGTGGCTCTAGTGGGTTGGCTTGCCAAGTTGAAGAAATCTTCACTTCTCCTGACCCAATACCTTATCTACTTGGGGTTTCTTTTCAATTCCTGTCTCTGTTGGGCCCAGCCTTCTCTACTTCATTTGCAAGTGATAGAGCTATTGGTTCTCAAGGTTCAATCTTCTTCTCCTCTCACTGCATGTGAGATTCTTTTCTTTTGGGGACTTGGACTTCCATGGGCTCATTCCCTTCCATTGTGCTCAATCCCATACAGTTGAGAGGAAGGCACTGGTGTTCTGTCGGTGTAGATGGTTTGAATCCTCATACTACTATGAACTGGAAGAAAAATACCTGATACTGACTTGTTATGGACTGGAGATGAACCACCAAAATGCAGTTCACTCTTTTGGCTGGGACCCCTCATCCTACTGCCACCTAGATGTTGGTTCCTGGGTGGTCTGGTGTTGGATTTGAGCTGGACCAGCCAACATGAGTTCTCACACATGTGGCTGGTAGGGAGCCCTTGTCCTATCATGAACTGGATAATAAATTCCCAGTGCCTCCTGGTTCTGGATTTGACTGAACCACCACGTTGCATTCCCTCTTCCTATTATCACCCAGATGTCAGTTTTCTGGTTGGCCTGGTTCTGGTTGTGTACTGGGTCTGCATACCTGTGCTCTGATGACTGGGATGTCAAGATGGAAACCATTGTCCCTTCTGCTTCCTTGTATTGAGGTGAAAATGGTACCAGATGATAGATACCTGATGCTGCCTGGTTTTGGACTGGAGTTGACTCACCAGTCACAGTCTGATGCATCCTAGCCACTCTACACCATTTGGCATGGCCAATCTAGTATTGGATGTACTTTCTTTCTGCCTGAATTAGTGACACATATTTTCACAAAAAGTGAAGGGTATACCTGGTTCATATGTGGTGGGGTCTCCCACAAATTTGTTCCTCTACAGTGAGATATCACATTCCATGGGCTCTTCTCAGATGGTTTTCGAAGGGTGCTCATCTAGGTAAATCTTACATCGGTCTTTCTACCAGCTCAGTGTGGGATTCTAGCTATTATTTGAGAAGAGGTAAGGTATTGTATCAGAACTTATAATTTTCCTAAACTGAAAATGTATTTTTGATAGATACTTGCCTCTTCTCACACTTCCCACTCTTCCTCCCCATTTCCAATGCTTTTTTTATGCCTAATCCCAATGTTAAGATAGGGTTCTACAGTATAGAGGGAGCCAACTGTACCAGGAGGGCATGTCACACTTGTATTGGTGGAGGGTTGTTGCATGCTACAGTGCAGATAACTATGTTAAACACATGAGGTAGGTGGGAATACCAAGGCTAGTAGCAAGTGATAAAAGTTGTGCATATAGAGGACAGCACTGAATGAGAAAAGCCATTATGTAAGCAGAGGTAAGTGTCTATTGGAAATACATTTTCATTCTAGGAAACTTATAACTTTCAAAACATGAGTAAGTCTTTTTGCTAAATACAATTTGAAGGCATAGGATCAGCTTCAGGAACATTACCATCCAGAAAGAGACTTACAACAGTTTGTAATCAAGCTTTGGTAAGTAAAATGCAACATCTTTTAACAGGTGAGAATCCACGAACACAAAGGTCAGTGGAAAAAGCTGTCTGGCCCAGGCAACAGTAAGCAACATAATCAAGAAATATCTGTGTCTGGAAAAGCAACACAAGTCGTGTACACTAGTTGGTTCCATGATATCTGTTTAAACTCAAGCACCTTGAGAATGAAATGGTATTTTGCTATTCTGTATGAAGATGTATTGATGAATTCACTGGATTCATCAGCTATGGATTTCTGTGCAATCAGACAGTTGAAAAGGGTGCTGAAAAACCATTGTCCTGATACTTTAGTTGTATTATGGAAAATCAGCAAAGAAGAGGGTTGTGCATTAGACATGAAAGTCTTGTGATGGGAGCTTTTGCTATAAGGTTATTGTCAAGATACTTGGTCTTCAAATAGAATATGACTATATGTGGTGACATGGAGTGTTACAACATGATGAGAAGTTTAAAACCATTTTGTATAATTTATACTCAACCTCTGTAGTTATTGGAATAGAATTCTAGCTACAGGCCACTAAGAACTTTGACACACAATTCCAATCTTTATTAGTAAGGTGCTGTACTTTTATATATATATATATAACCACACATGATGTATTTTGTGCAAGCTGAAACAACCAGAAATTTTGTATCATTACTTAAACATTATCTACATACCATATAAAATTTGGTATTTTTGCTGTACTTGAGAAATGTATACAGTGACAATTTCAGTTAATTCATACAATTAATTAATTAATTATTTTGATGTGAAATTTTTTATTAAATTACAAAGAGGTCCTAAAAGCAGAATTTTAAGTGTATCAGATCACCTCATTTGAGCATTATTTAACAAATGATAAGAGTTATCTGTACTATAATATTTTATTTTTTAGTATATTTGATACTGTTGTGTACAGTGAACTTTTGTGTTTTTTTGTGGTCCTTCATTTTGTAAGATTAATTGCTTATATTTATCAATTTATTTTTTATTTCAGGAGAAAGATCCATGG